CAAACAAAGAAGAGGAATCTGCAGATCTCTCCATAGCTCCTGCTGGGTAGCCTCAGGCAGAGGCTAAATTAGCACCTCCTTAGAGATCCAAGAGCCAGTGTACCCAGTGGTCAGAGTGGGACCATCCAGATTACAACTCCTCAGACCCATAAGGGACACACTCAGGGGGCAGACTCAGTGAGCACCAAAGCCCCACTGAAGCAAGTCTTGCCCCAGAAGGGTGTCTCCAGCACAGAAGTTCTACCACTACAGACACAGCTGATTCTCACAGCCAATTGGCCTGGAGGTCAATTCCTCCCACTGACACCAACAACAATCAAGGCTTAACTACAACAAGACTGTGCACAAAGGCCACAAAGGGGTGCACCAAGAGTGTCCACCTCAGGTAATTGGGGAGGCTGAGCCACTGGGCCTTTTGGACACCTAGCACAGAAAGACACTCTATCAACACAGGGAAGCAGCCAAAATGCGGAGACAAAGAAACAGGTCACAAATGACAGAAATGGAAGAAAGCAAACTACTGGATATAGAGTTCAAAACCTCGGTTATAAGGTTTTTCAAGAATTTTCTAGAAACCGCCAATAAATTTAGTGAGACCCTCAATAAATCTAGTGAGAACCTCGAAGATATGAACAAGGACCAACTAGAAATTAAGGATACACTGACTGAAATAAAGAATATTATACAGAGTTCCAACAGCAGACTAGAGGAATGCAAGAATCAAGTCAAAGATTTGAAATACGAAGAAGCAAAAATCACCCGACCGGAAAAACAAAAAGAAAAAAGAATCCAAAAATATGAAGATAGTGTAAGGAGCCTCTGGCACAACTTCAAGTTTACCAACATTTGAATTATGGGGGTGCCAGCAGAAGAGAGAGAGCAAGATATTGAAAACCTATTTGAAGAAATAATGACAGAAAACTTCGCCTACCTGGTGAAAGAAATAGACTTACAAGTCCAGGAAGCACAGAGAACCCCAAACAAAAGGAATCCAAAGAGGACCACACCAAGACGCATCATAATTAAATTGCCAAGAGCAAAAGACAAAGAGAGAATCTTAAAAGCAGCAAGAGAATAACAGTCAGTTACCTACAAGGGAGTACCCATACGACTGTCAGCTGATTTCTCAACAGAACCTTTGCAGACCAGAAGGGAGTGGCAAGAAATATTCAAAGTGATGAATAGCAAGAACCTACAACCAAGATTACTTTACCCAGCAAAGCTATCATTCAGAATTGAAGGTCAGATAAAGAGCTTCACAGATAAGTTAAAGCTAAGAGTTCATCACCACCAAGCCAATATTATATGAAATGCTGAAAGGTATTCTTTAAGAAGAGGAAGAAGAAAAAGGTAAAGATACAAATTATGAACAACAAATACACATCTATCAACAAATGAATTTAAAAATCAAGTGAATAAATAATCTGATGAACAGAATAAACTGGTGAATATAATAGAATCGGGGCATAGAAAGGGAGTGGACTGACAATTCTCAGGACGAAAGGGGTGTGGGTGGTGCGGGAAGAGACTGGAAAAAAATCGTACACCTATGGATGAGGACGGGGGGCAGGGGTGGTAAGGAAAAGGATGGGGTGGGAAACTGGTGGAGGGGAGCTATGGGGGGAAAAAAGAGGAGCAACTGTAATAATCTGAACAATAAAGATTTAATTTAAAAAAAAAAGAACCTGATTATAAACCAAGTTAACAACTAACAATTTCATATCCTAGTTGAGAAAAATATTAAAAGTGTATAGGTTCCTGGATAAAGAATATTACAACATGCTGAGTTTCACAGACATCTGATTTTTAAATTTTTTTTTATTATAGTTGGCACAAAATATTATACTAGTTTCAGGTATATAACATAGTGATTCAACATTTATATACCTGATGTGATCACTACAATAAGTCTAGTAACTATCTGTCACTGTGCAAACTTATTGCAATATTATTGACTATATTCCCTGTGCTGTAATGACATGTGATCTTTTTACCCAAAAGCTAAGAGCTTTAGGAGGGAAAATGCCAAACTAATGAAAGACTTTATCAATGAATCATGAGAAAATTTTTTCTCATAAGATCATTTTTTAAAATGGTGCCCCTAGGGCTCTTTGAACTCTAAAATTCAAGATGTAAAATCCATATTTCCCGTCATTTTCCCTCCCAAGACCGACTGCTCTTGAATGTTCTCTAGTGCTATGAAAGCAATCACTTTCAGCTCCGGGTGCTGAACCTCAAAACTAGAGCCCTCCCTTCCCTGACCCCTCACATCCAAAATATGACCAGCCCCCATCAATTCTTCCTTAGCAGCATTTCTATCACCATGCCCTGACACGGCCCTAACACAGGCCCTCGCTTCTGGGACTCAGCAACAGTCTTCCAATTCCAGTGTTTGCGGTTTCCAAATTCTGCAGACTGCTTGAGATTACTATGCCAACAGTAGAATAGAGCCCCATTATCTAGGACATATGGCCTAAATATCAAACCTCCATTCTAGAGGCTTTTCATGAACTAGTTCCATCATATGACTTCCATGCTATTTCCTGTCTCATTAACACCTACTTAAGCCTCAGGTCTCCTCATAAATGTCCTTTGCTCTGGGAAGATTTTCCAAATTGCCTGAGACTATGACAGTTCCTCTGCCACAGGACTTCACTGTACCATGAACTTGCCCAACAAGAGCATATTTTAGTTGCTTCAGAAGTTACCTCCTTCATCCTACTCAACCTTGCCAAGACTGCTCACTTTGTGAATATATACCCAGCCAGGGCTTCTCACAGTTCTAGATGCTAAAATTCTAAGACAAAGGTCCCAGCAAACAGCCATCTTCTCTCTATGGCTTCACGTGGCCTTTTCTTAGTGTGTACACAAGGCTGGGTTGGGAGGCTGGGGGTGGGCATGCTCTAATGTCTCTTCATATAAGAAAACCAATTCTGTCAGATTAGAGTCCCACCTTTATGGCTTCCTTTAGCATTAATTACTTTCTTAGAGGCCCCATCTCAAATACAGCTACACTAAGGGGTCAGGACTTCAACCCATGAATTTTGAAATGACATAAACATTCTGTCTATAACAGTAGGCGACCCTTAAATTAGCCATCAGGAGGAGAACCAAGATGGTGGCATAGGTAAATGCCTGTACTTGTTGCCTCCCACAACCACATCAAAATTACAACTAAAATACAGAACAACTGTCATCCAGAACCACAGGAAAGCTGGCTGAGTGGAAGTACTATAACTAGAGAGGTAAAGAAGAAAGCACACTGAGACTGGTAGAAGGTACGGAGGCGTGGAACGGGCTGATCCGGCACCCCAGTGTGCCACTTTTTTAACTGGGACAATATCAAGTACAACAACATTCACATTATAGGTGTTTCAGAAGGATAAGAGAGAGAGGGAGATATTGAAAACCTAATTATAGAAATAATGATGGAAAACTTCCCCAACCTGTTGAAGGAAACAGACACAAAAGTCCAGGAAGCACATAGAGTCCCAAACAAGTTGAACCCAAGGAGGCCCACCCCAAGATATGTCATAATTAAAATATCAAAGGTTAAAGACAAAGAGAGAACCTTAAAAGTAACAAGAGAAAAGCATTAGTTATGTACAAGGGAGCTCCCATAGACTATCAACTGATTCTACAACAAAAACTTTGCAGGCCAGAAAAGAATGGCATAAAACATTCAAAGTGATGAAAAGCAAGTACTGACAACCAAGATTACTCTAACCAGAAGGCTATCATTTAGAGTAAGACAGATAAAGGGTTTCCCAGATAAGAAAACACTAAATAAAGGACATGAGTTCATCACCACCAAACCAGTATGACAGTAGCTCACCCTTGACCTTTACTAATTTTTTGGTATTAATCTACCTTTATGGTGATATAATTCACATACCATAAAATTCAGCCTTTTAAAGTATACAATTCAGTAGCATAGTCATGAACATGTGCAAACAACACCACCATATAATTCAAGAACACTCTCATCACCCCAAAAAGAAATCCCATAGATATCAGCAATCACTTCCCAATCTGTTCTTCCCCTAGTTCCTGGCAACCACCAATCTACTTCCTATCTTTATGGGTTTACCTATTCTGAACATTTCCTATAAATAAAATCATACAATATGTGGCCTTTTGTGTCAGACTTTTTTCACCTACAACAGTGTTTTCAAGGTTCATCCATGTCTACTACTTTGAAAAAGCATTTTTAATGGAGAATTTGAACTGGAAACTAGGCAGAATAGTATACTAGTAAACCTCTACATATCTATCATCTAGCCTCAATAACCCCCAACCCATCCACACATCACATACCTCACCTGAATTGAATTCCAGATACTATATTGTTTCTGTGTAAATATTTCCATACGGACATTTTATAATAGCTGTTCTAACACTTAGCCTCCTGGTCAGAGTTTTCCTTATTTTAATGGCCTACGTCTACGAAGAGCTGAATTTTTCCTTTGCTAGGCATTATTTACTTAAGAAATACACTGGATTCATACATTCTGCCTAATAAAAGCACTGAAGGGGAAAAATTGAAAGAGTTATGAACCAAAATCTCAGAGAAATTTCTCCACAGGCCAAGATTCAAAGTGATCTAAAATATGATAAATACCTCAGTATTTCTTCTGACAGTCAGAAACACTCATATGGAGGTTGTTTACTTTTTAGTTTTCCCTCGTCATCCCGGAAAAGGCCTAGAAGTTTATTACAAGCGGGTTTTGCTTTTGTTTTTTTTAGCATGCACCAATTACAATCCAGAAAGCACTTCAAATGCCTATGTGAGGACTAAATACAAAGTAATTTCACACAAAAGAAGAGCGTTTATGAACCCAACAGAAAGACTTTAGGGTTTTTTAAATTATTGTTTTAGGAAAGGTAGCAAACAAGCAGATATTCACTGTTGTAAGGTGAGGGGAAAATTAAGAGGAAAGAGAAGAAAGGAGAAGTAAGGATAAGGGTGGCAGAAGAATTCATGTTCAAATTACTCTTACCTTTTTGTGAGCAATTAGGAGGCAATTGGAATGTTCATGTTCACAAGCAATTTCATAGTCAGGGATCAGATCCACCAATTCACGGACAAAGCGTACCACTTCCTCATGCCAGGGCACGTTGGCCATGGTGAGACTGCTTGCTGAACTCTCTCCACAGTAGGTGACACCCTGTGGAGACATTACAATAGTTAGAGACAATTACAGACCTGTTTAAATGTCATAGAGAAAATTTCAGAGCTAGAAAGGTTTCTAGAATTCATCCAAATCAATCCCATCTGTATTTTAAAGTGAAGAAAGTGATACAACGATGATAAAATTCTTGGGAACTAATACAAGGAGTTAGTGACAAGGACAGCACTGGTGCTCCCGGGCTGATCGATGTTCTTTTCACTCTATGACAGTGCTGGTGCTTGGGTACCTGTGCTTTGTGTCATGTATGACAATATTATTTGAACCAATAACATATCTTTCCTTTCAGATTCATTTGGGATCTATAATAGATTAATTCTCAAAGCATGACAGTCCCCTAGAATAATAAGGCAGGCATAGTTGACACCCATAAAAATTCACTGAACAATTTATTCACTGGGAAAATAAAATGAGCTCCCATTTTACGGCACAGTTTAGATTAGAGGTTGGTAAATTTTATGTTAAAGGCTGGATAGGGATCCCATTATTGTTATTATTTATTCTTTAAAGACATCACTTTGTAATGCATTTTGTACACACACACACACTCATGCCAAATAGGAAATACTTATGTGGATGTGTATACATGCATTAAGCACACCTACATGTATCTCACCTCTATAGAAATTCTTATTCAGTGAGATAACTTTGGTTCTGTTTTGAACTCTACCTGACAGCCCAGTCATATAAAATCCAAAAGTTTCAGAGCTAAGTTCTCTACTTGGTAGATTACATAATGACAATTAATTCATTTTTAAATATTGGATATCTTAACTTTGTAGGCTCTTCAAATACCCCAGAATCAAACTTTCTTGACAAATGGTTTGAATATTCTAGATACGCTACTACTAAGTAGGAAAAACGTGCACCACATACACACACACACATCTCTCTCTCTCTCTCTCTCTCTCTCTCTCTCTCTCTCTCACATACACACACACACACACACACACACACACACACACACACACACACCACTGTCATTAAAGGGGGTAGAATGACATTAAATGAAAAACCCACAAATGAACTCTGAAGAGTGACCCTGGCCCTACAGATGGCAGAGCCAGGACTTGGCTGAAAACTCAGATGAGCTCTGCAGAACGCTCTGTTCCAGATGGCTGTGCAAGAAGATTGCTGGTCTACTAGACTGAGATGACCTTTGCTGGACGCAAACCTTAGGTGACCCAGCTGAGTTCTAGCAAACAAGAGAATCTTCTCTATTAGCCCAATAATTTATTGAATTCATTAAACTGAGTCTGAGTTGTCGGTGAATTAAAAAAGCAAGTAGTTTTAAAAAATCTTTAAGAAAGCATGGCTGAAAAATTATGCTAAACATACCTGAATGTATAAAAACCATGAAAATGATTTATTGATAGATAAAAAGTGGTCACAAAAACAAACTTTACTTCAATTTAAATACTGTTTATGATGCATGAATTATATGAACAGCCATGTATGGAACAGTTATTTCAAAGGAATTTATTTTTAATATTTAAAAAGCTAGTTCATTGAAGCAGAGGTTTTTAGATAAGATCTTATATTCATGACAGTGGCTTTGGAAAATGTTTAATATTTCTTATTCAGCAATAATAAATCATGAAATATTAAGGAGATATTTGGCTTGGAAATGAAATTAGAGAATGAATGCCACACAGCTCATTATTATGCCTTCATATAATATTTCTCCACACATTCGCATGATGCTTTATAGCACTTTCCAAAGCACTTTCACATAGAAGTTCTCATTTTAGCCAAACCAAATCTGCTGGGGTCGGCAGTACGGGTAGCTTGAACCATCCACAGGGCCTGAGCCTTCGCAATGACAGAAATGCTTCGGGCAGGAACCGGTTTCAGTGAACTGGTCTGTGAAGTCACTTTCGGGAACCCCTGAGCCCTCACCAGTGTAGCTCCTAATGCCTCGCTCTGTGGTGCTCTCTGCCTTGGCTTCTTCACTTCTTCCAAACTCTGGTCTACCAATGACTTGTGCTGACTTTATCCCTGGTCACACTTAACCCTGAACTATCTAAAACCACTATCAGTTTCCCTCATATCATGGCTATCTGCCACCTTCTCACCCCACCACCACACCCCACACCCTCCCCATTTATTACCAACATCACGTTGTTTCCTCACCACTTTGAAAAAAGAACAACCTTAAGAAAACAGATGGGCACAATGTGGCAACTGGAAAGTAGTCATTCACTCCAGAATCTACAGGTTGAGGAGTAACAAGCAGACCCAAAGAAAGTTCCCAAAGAACAGGACCAACCGTACATCTTCACGTTTGTAGTGAGAAGCATAGCCCACACCATGACCTCAGCACCTCTCTGATGGGTTTCTCTGCTCTGGGAGATGGGGGGCATCAGGTCTTTTTTTACTGGCTGCTTGGAAAGTTTACCTAGGGATTCAAGGTATGCAGGTGAGCAGTATTTTGGCAGCTTGCTATTCTAATTAAACTGACTGGGTGTCTAAAGACTCCTGATCCTGTTTTTGTTCCCTACAGTTTGATGAGAAATGTCTTTATGACATTCTGCAGCAGGATACCCAAAACATGTCATTCCTATACCCTGAAAATGCTTCAACAGTCCCCTCCCCCCGCCAAAAAGCAAACAAACAAAACAGCCCAACCTTCTCAACATGGCTTTGAGGCCTTCATATTGGACCGTCTCACTCAGCATCCAGTCTTCATCTGCCTAAATCCTCCATCATCTCTTCAATCTCCAGTCAGGAAACGCTACCTCATCTGACCTCAATGTCATCATATCTTGTGCATGTCCCTTACCAGATAACTGGGATAATATGTCAAAATTCTGAGCCTATTCTTCTCTGGACCCCCAACCACTCTATGCTGAATGACCTAAAGATCAAGTAACAAAGTCTTCTTTGATAAGAAACCCCAGAACTCTTTTCTGATCTAAGATTTCATTCATATTACTCAGAATTTGTCTACTCTTTAACAATCATGAACCAACTGATCAACACTAGTTAGGTATTACCATGTACATGAACAACTGGTACTACTCCTTATCTTCACAGAAAGAGTGAGGCTATGCTAACCCATTTGTTTTGCAAGATGCATTCTGCAAGGATTGAGTTCTTATAGACAGTTACAGTGCAAAGGGGAAGAGAGTCTTATATCATTTGACAGCAAATAATTACTGGGTACTTACTATTCTCAAGGTACAATGCCAGGAGAGAATACAAAGGCAGTATTTAATTTATAAATAGTGTTATAAAAGTTTTTCAATGAGACAGATGTTTGTAACATTAAACACATTTTCACAAACAAGCAAGCCAATAATGATGGTTAAGATTCTCAGGTTAGTAAAGAAAGGCCTATTTAAGCCTAACAAAGCTAAAATGTATGTTAATTTACCTGAGGATATAATAGAAAAACTATTTACAAGACTAACACTGAAAGAAAAGAGGAAATCAATGTAATAAATAGCTTCTATTGATTTAGTTTAAATAAATGTGCTTAATGGAAAGTGAGTTAAACATTTACTGAATCCAGGCGTACCCATTACCCCAATGAATTTCTCAAAACAAAGCTATTACATTGCTACTATTACTCTAATTTTAATGTTGAGGAAGTTTAGACTCAAGGAAGATAGTAACCTGTCCCAGCTCCTTCAGCACCTTTCAGGAATGTATCAAAGCTGTGCTCTTCTCTCTTCTCCACTTGAGACGCCAGTGTGTGCAGAATATGAAAGACTCTGGCACCCACCACATACACACACACCCAGGACATACAGACAAAGGATATGAACAGTGTTTGCTTCTGCAGAGAGCCCCAGGCATATCACTAACCCAGGTCAATTGGCACTATCCATTTCACATATTCAGAGCCTTTTTGTGACCTGGAGGCACTATTAAATTTTACCATCAACCCCTTTTGAGGGATAGGTCCTGGAAAACTTTTTCACCAACAGCATATGTAAGGGATAAATCTCCAAGTGCCATTCTGTGTCAGTGGGTAAATTTTGTCCTAATTCAGCCTTCAACTGAAGTTAAAAGCGCCCAGTCTTCTGTGCTTTAAACCCAAGTCCTGTCTCTGCCAGAGTTGACCTCCACACTTACATGATCTGGGGCCTATTTGAACCTATATGTCGTTCAAATTTAATAAGGCCAACATAGAACACATGAAATTACTTCCCAAACTTACCTCCTTCCTGCCTGGGTCTTTCCATCTCAGTAAACTGTTCCACATCCACACAACTGTTTAAGCTAAAAATCCAGTGCTATTATTGATTCCTTTTGTTCTTTCACTCCCTACATATCATCTAGCAATAAGTTCTGTTGGTTTTACTTCCAAAATTTATCCTAAATGCGGCCACATTTCTCCAACATAAATTACCAATGACCTTCCCCAATCCATCACATGTCTTGTTTGGATTAAGCAATAGCTTTGTAACTGGTCTGCCTACTTCTACTATTGCCCTCTATACTCTCTTTATGACAGCAGCAAGGCGTTGTTTTACAATCATAAATCAGACACATGATTCTCCAGCTTAAAACACTTTAGAAGTACACCTAGTATAAAGAAAAGCGTACCATGAAATTTGGTATAAAATCCAATTCTCTTATCCTTGCTTGAAAGACCTAACAGAATCCGGCCCCAGTCCACTTCTCTGACTCATCTTCTGTCACTGTCAACTCCAGCCGCCCCACCGAGATTACATAGGACCTCCATATACTATCTCTGCCATTTGCTCGAACGTTCTAACCCAAGCCTTTGCATATTGTGTTGCTTCTTAGTATTTAGATACTAGCTCTAAAAAAGGCATCTTCTCAGAAAAGCATTCTGGCTTATGATATCTAGAATATCCAACTACAATATCTAGCAAAACAATATATGCATTTACCCTTTGATACATCAACCCACTTATAGGAATCCATCCCAAAGAAACACTGGCAAAGCCCTGGTTGGAGTGGCTCATTGCAGGTTCAATCCCTGGTCAGGGGTGCATACAGGAGGCAGCCAATTTATGTATTTCTCTCACATTGCTGGCTGGCTCTCTCTCTCTCTCTCTCTCTCTCTCTCTCTCTCTCTCTCTCTCTCTCTCCCCTTGCTCCTTCTCTAAAGTAAAAATAAATAAATATACCCAATAAATAAATGAAATACTGGCAAAACCATGACATAGATAACCAGACATTACATGTCTCTTCCTGGAAGTATACAATACCACCAATGAAATAATCTTGAAATGCAAACACACACACACAAGAATCTGATCAATCTTCTCTTTTCTTATTTTATTTTATTGTTTCCATCTCCATTTATCACCTAGATAAATCAATCTTCTCTTGATCTAACTACCAATCCACAGGAAATATAGAAAACATAGGAAAATACAATCAGCAGAATCTAGAATATAAATATGGGGAACAAGCCAGGATAAATACTTTCTTCAACAAAATAAATTACAAAGGAGAAAAACATATGGAAGAGAAATTAGATTAAAAGAAATTTAAGAGAAAAATAATGCATTTACAATGAATGGCCCAGATTTAAAAATACCGTTGAGCATCGCCCTATGAACCAGGAGGTCACAGTTCCATTCTGGTCAGGGCACAAGCCCGAGTTGCAGGCTCCATCCCCAGTGTGAGGAATGCAGGAAGCAGCCGATCAATGATTTTCTCTCATCATTGATGTTTCTATCTCTCTCTCCCTTTCCCTTCCTCTCTGAAATAAAATATATATATATATATACATAAAAAATATTGTGTTAAAAAATACTGTTGAAATAATTGGCCCAGTTTGAAACCTTACATGTTCTAATACTTAAAAATTATGTTTAAGTTGTTTAGTTATGAGAACAGTATTCTGAATAAGTGTTTAAAATGAGTATACATCTTTTAGAGTTATATTTTTAAACAGTTATGAATCAATGATATGTGGGGGTTTGCTTCTAAATAATATGGTAAAGTGAGAAAATGGGTAAGAATATAGCTAAAACATGAGTTGACAATTTTGGAAGCTGGGTAACGGACAAATGGAGTAAATTAAACCAGTTTCTCCACTTCTTATATGTTTGAAATTTTCCATAATTGAAATTTATTTAAAAGCCAACCAATCATTCACTATAACACTTTTATTCCTCAGCATATTAATGTTACTACAGTTGACCCTTGCAGGTTTGAACTGCACAGGTCCATTTATCGACACATTTTTCTCAATAAATACTATAAATGTATTTTCTCATCCTTATGATTTTCTTAATAAAGTTTTCTTTCCTCTAGCTTATTTTATTGTAAGAATATAGTATATAACTTATATAACATATTACATATATCTTAGTCAATTGTTTATATTATTAATAAGGCTCTGGTCTTAGTAGGCTACTGGTAGTTAAGCTTATGGGAAGTCAAAAGTTATACACGAATTTTCAAGTGTGCTCCTAACCCCGCATTGTTCACCGGTCAACTATATGTAGTTTCTTATTATTCAGTTTGTGATGACTGTCTACCTCTCACTAAAATAATATTTTTGTGAGAATTAATGCTTAGTTTTTACTGCTACTATCCCCAGTGACTAGAACAGTGCCTGGTTCCTGATTAATATTTCTGAATGAGTGCATAAAACATCTGGGACCTCCCATAGAGTCTAAAAAAATGTTAACTCTAGGATGATTAACAAAGCATAGCAAGAAGAGGGTACAGCAGTGGCCGGCAGGGGCTTACCTTCACTTCGATGAAGTCAGGATGCCCCAGAGACACCAGCTCAGCATAGGCTTGGAGTTCATCCACATTCCATGCTTTAACTAGAGTCAGTCTGTAGACAGTACGCTGTTGCTAAAACAAAGGAAAAGCCAACTTTGTTTTTACTAGTATCTCGGTAGAAGTTACACCTAGGAAGACTTTCAAATTTCTTCAACCCATAGAGAACCCACGTAAGGTGAAATCCAGCATGAACTTCTATAAACATATACCTTTTAGAAAAATGAAAAAGGTATAAACAAAGTTATAAGATTCCCATAAGCCTTACAAAGGCAAAGATACTAGCATATTTCTTTTCTTTCACTCACAATATCTAACAATATTAGGCACCCAATAGGTTCTTGACAAAGATACATTGGATGAGATTTAGTAAAGAACAATAAGTTGACCTCATAGTTTTAGATTGTCAAAAAATTAGATTAAGGAAAAGTAGCCAGTTACCAAATAAAAAGAAAAAAATAATGAGCAGCTTTCCTGGCATAGAGTGTGAATATTTATATTTTTTTTAAGTATGGTGTGAGACAGGGATTCTTTCTCTCCTATGTGGAACTGAACCAGTGTTAAACGTTGAATAATTCATTCTCTACTCCATGATTTGTAATGTCTGCTTGTTGTAATCAAGTTTTCATATATTCATGGATGTTTCTGAACTTTCTACTCTGTGATATTAGTTTTTCTATCTTGTCACAGTACCACACTAAGTAACTATAGCTTTATAATAAGACTTGATATTTAGCACAAACAACCTCTCTTTGTTCTTCAAAATTGTTTTTCTTCAAAATTATCTTACTTATTCTTAGCCCCTTAATTTTTTTTCATATTTACTTTAGCACTAGAGGCCTGGTGCATGAATTCATGCACAGATGGGGTCCCTCGGCCTGGCCGGCGATCGAGGCCTATCAGGGGGCCGGACAGCCAGCCGGGTGGAGGGATCCTGGGAGGTTGGCTGGCCCCCACATCGGGGCCCCGGGGGAAGGACTGGGGGAGGTTGGCCAGCGGTGGTGAGGGGAGGAGCCATGGGAGGTTGGCCAGTGGGGGAAGGAGGGCTGCGGGAGGTTGGCCAGCTGGGAGGAAGGGCCGTGGGAGCGCACTGACCACCAGGGGGCAGCTCCTGCGTTGAGCATCTGCCCCCTAGTGGTCAGTGCACATCACAGCAACTGGTTGACTGGTTGTTCCAGTTGTTTGGTCGTAAGGGTTGCTTAGGCTTTTATATCTAGAGATTACACACACACACACACCTCTCCTTTTCCTTGCATTCTCATGTTGTAAATTTCTGTGTTAGCGTGTTAGTAGTTCTCAGGGCACTGGTCATTTTTACACTGTGAAATCTGTGCTGTTCAATATGCCAGTAGAGCCACCTCTTCCAACCTCCCCCTCCAAAGGATGGAGAAATACTGCTCTGTATTACTCCTTTGCTTTCCTGAAGTATAAGTATATATATACTTACACTTTTTAAATTCTCGCCCTAACTTTTTAAATTCTCACCCTAACCGGTTTGGCTCAGTAGATAGAGCGTTGGCCTGTGGACTGAAGGGTCCTAGGTTCGATTCTGGTCAAGGGCATATACCTTGGTTGTGGGCACACCCCCAGTAGGGGGTGTGCAGGAGGCAGCTGATCGATGTTTCTCTCTCATCGATGTTTCTAACTCTCTATCCCTCTCCCTTCCTCTCTGTAAAAAATCAATAAAATATTTAAAAAATTCTCTAGAGGGGTATTTTTTCTGCTGTAAAGTGTTTGCATACAATCTCTTACTTACCCTGTTGGCTGCTAATGCACCTAGCATGTTTTGTGTGTGCATTTTGCATTTCACAGCTTTCTCTTGTGGTTTTTCAAGCAATGGACTTAAGTATCCCTTTGACCATATGTCCATTAGATACATTATAATATAGAGTTGTGTGTGTGTGTATTTATGTATTTATATAAAATATATGTGATTTCACCCTCCTTCTACTCCTTCACAGAGGCAATATCTTCCTGCATATTGACCACGTTTCCAGGAGGATGTCAAGCCCTTCTTTTCTTTTTGCTATTGGAAGTAACTGATGGAAGTGCATGAATCTTCAAGCTAACTCTGGCCACACTCTGTCTCATATTCTTGCTGATATGCATGGTCTTCTGAGGCTCTGCTGAACCTTAGGCAAATATTTTCCCACTTCCTTTACTAAGTTTCTGGTCTTTGAGCAGGAGAATTTTGTTTAAGGCACCTGCAATGATGTATAGTTGAGATCAGGCATGTCAAGTGACTGACAAACTGATCCAATCTCATCTCAAGAGTCAAAAAAATTAAAAGATACGTGTGTACGTATATGTTTTCTGATCCCACAGTTTTTGTTGTATTTCCTTGCAAGCCTTTTTTCCTGTATGTGTGTGTGTGTGTGTGTGTGTGTGTGTATATATATGTGTGTGTGCCATTAATACTATGATGCATGTACAATTTTGTTTTTAGCTTTTTAAAAATGTAACACTATTATATTAAAATTACCTTTCATCATTAAATAGTCTTCTAAAATAGTTATTCTCCATGGGAACAGGAAGCAAGCAAACAAAAACCACCTCCCCTTACCCCTCTGTACTCCTCTCTGAGAATCTCATCTGCATGAGCTCTTCTTTTGTTAGGAGTGTGTTCCTTTGCTGTGTTGGACTGCACATCACTATTTTGAAATGTCATCTTCAGTGCTAGCTCAATAGTGATATCATAAGTCGTGTAGCCATTTCTTGGGATTGAACATCTTGAGACCTTATAATATATCATTATTATAAATAAAGCTGGAACAAGCATTCTTATTCATCAGTATTTGTCCACAATTTTAATTATTTCCAAAGGTTAAATTTTTCCAAAAGCAATTATTGGGTCAATAGATTTGAATATTTTTTATATTCTTTTTTTTTTTAGATTCTTTAATCATGTTGCCATGTTACTTTCTAAAATGTTTGTACTGAACTATGCTTTTACCATCAGTGAATTAGTATGTCTTTCTTGCTAACTCTAGGCAGCACTGAATATTGCTATTACAAAAAAAAAAAAAAATCGATGCCAATTAGATAAGCCAAAGCAGTACCTCATTACTGCTTCAATTTGCATTTCTTTGATTACTAATAACTTGGTGCCATATTTTAGAAGACCATTTTACCTTGTTTTGACATAACCTCAACTCAAGTTCATCTTCAGTTGCAACTATCAAGATAAATCATTGAAATGAAGAGCTGTAGTCCTGGGATAAATTAACATTATCCAGAATGTGTAGCATTGAAAGCTGTCTAATTAGAAGCAACACAATTCTAACTCATAACTATATATTTTTAACTACTTATTATAAATTTTTAAAACACCCAAGAAAAGAAATAATTCCTGTGTAACCATAATTTTAGCTTTGACAGCTGTCAGCATTCTACATTTCTTATTTTATCCATCTTCCTACCTTTTTTTTTTTTTTTTTTTTTTTTTTGGTGTAGGGAAGACATTGGAATATTTCAAGTTAAATAACAAACAATATCATTTTATCCATGAATACTTGTGTATATAATATATATGAGGACCTTTAAAATTTGAATGCCTCCCCCAGCACTTTGCATATAGGTTTTTTTTTAACAGGATTTATTATTAGAGGCTATCATATATACAGAAAAGTGCACAGACCTTAAATGAACAGCTTGGTGAATTACTACAATTATAATCTCTTCAAGAATTTCCCTTCCAGAATTAATTCTAAGTAATTCATCAAAAATGTGAGCAAAGATATGCATAGGTTTTCACAATAATATTAAACAATAGACAAGTTAAGAAAATAATGTCAAATCTACTTTATGACTGACTATGCGCCAATTAAACTTGATATAATAGAATACTTATACAAAGGATCGCAATATAGTTCTCAGTGAAAAAAATCAATAACCTAAATAAGCTTCTACTTTAGGGAAGTAGAGAAACAAGAGCAATTTAAGCCTATACCAAGTAAAAGAAAAAAATAATAAAAATTAGAGCTGAAAGTAACAGAAAACCAATAGAGAAAAATCAACAAAATCAAAACCTTGTTCTTTGAAGAAAAAAAAAATCAAATTGACAAACCTCTACTGAGGCTAACCAAGAAAAAAGAGAGAAGATATAATTTATCAATATTAAAAATAAAAAGAGGGATCTCATCACTACTGACTTCTGGACAATAAAATGATAATAAAGGAATACTAAAAACAACACTATGCCAAATTTTGAAAACAAAGGTGAAAAAAAAAACAAATTCCTTAAACACAAAATACACACAAGAAGAAACATTTCATCTGGATGGGAATATATATATATATATATATATATATATATATATATATATATATGAAATTGAATCAATAGTTAATAACCTCCCAAAACAGAAAGCAGCAAACCCAAATGGGTTCTACCAAACATTTAAAAAATAAATGACATCAGTCTATCACAATCTCTTCCAGATAACAGAAGCAGAGGGAATACTTCTCAACTCACTCTCTGAGGCTAACATTACTCTAATGCCAAAACCAGATAAAGGCATTTTAAAAAAGAAAAAAATATATCTTTCATAAGCATAGATTTTTCTTTAAATCCTCAATTTATAAATAAATTGAATCCAATGATATATAAAAATAATATAAACGTGCTCACCAGTTGAGATTTATTACAGGTATTCAAAACTGGTTCAATATTCAAAAAATTACTCAACATCACATATCAATAGACTAGTGTAGAAAAATCATGTCTCATATCATCATATGAATTGATGCAGAAAAGCATTTGACAAATGCCAACACTTCTTCATGATAAATTTCTCAGCAAACTAGGAATTAGAGGAATTTCCTTAACATTATAAAAAAAATACTTATAGAAAATCCTCAGCTAATATCACACTTAATTGTGAAAAACTGAATACTTTCTCCCTCAGATTGGGAATTAGGCAAGGATGCCCCCTCTTACCACTCCTATTGACCATAGTACCAGAAGATTTAACTAGTACAACAGACAAGAAAAGAAAAAAAAGTATAAAAGTTGGAAAAAAGAAATAAAGCTGTTTTTCTTTGCAAATGACATGATATATAGGAAATCTCAAAAAAATGACAAAAGAACTTCTAGAACTATTTTTTTTTAATATATTTTATTGATTTTTTACAGAGAGGAAGGGAGAGGGATAGAGAGTTAGAAACATCGATGAGAGAGAAACATCGATCAGCTGCCTCCTGCACATCTCCCACTGGGGATGTGCCCGCAACCCAGGTACATGCCCTTGACCGGAATCGAACCTGGGACCCTTCAGTCCGCAGGCCGACGCTCTATCCACTGAGCCAAACCGGTTTCGGCAACTTCTAGAACTATTATGTGAGTATAGCAAGATCAGGATACACCCTAGATACAAGGTTAATAAACAAAGATCATTTTTTTAAAAATACCATACAATAACACCAAGAAATAAAATACTCATATATAATCTAACAAAACTATGTGTAAGTTCTATATGTAAAAAAAATGATATAGCTCTCATTAAAGAAAATCTAAATAATTAAGAAATATTTCATGTTCATGAGTTGGAAGACTCAATACTGTTAAGATGTCACTTCTTCCCAACCTGATCTACAGATTCAATACAATCTCAGCAAACTAGTTTGTAGATAAGGGACAAACTGACTGTAAGGTTTATATGGAATGGTTACAGACTTACAATAGCCAATACTATACTGTAGAAGAACAAAGTTGGAGGATTCACATTACCAATTTTTAGGGCTTATGATAAAGCTATAGTAATTATGACAAAATGATATTGGTGAAAGATGCTTAGATGAATGGAATAGCCAAGAAATGCACCATATAAATATTGTCAACTGGTCTTTGACAAAGGAGTAAAGGCAATTCAACATTTTGTCTTTTCAACAAAATGGTGGTAGAACCTTTGGACATCACCCTATATAATAAAACCCTAATATGCAAATTGACCGAATGGCAGAACAACCAGTCGCTATGTCACACACTGACCATCAGGGGGCAGGCACTCAACACAGGAGCTGCCCCCTGGTGGTCAGTCTGCTCCCATGGGGGGGAGGGGAAGGAGCCAGATTTACGGCTGGCGAGCGCAGCGGCGGTGGCGGGAGCCTTTCCTGCCTCCGCTGCAGGCGGGCGGTAAGGAGCAAGGGGTCCTGGACTGCAAGAGCCCTGGACTACAAGAGGGATGTCTGACTGCCAGCTTACGCCTGATCCCTAGCGGGGAGCGAGCCTAAGCCAGCAGGCATACATCCCCCGAGGGGTCCTGAACAGTGAGAGGGCACAGGCCAGGCTGAGGGACACCCCCCCCCACCCTAGTGCACGATTTTCATGCACCAGGACTCTAGTATTAAATAAACAAACAAATCTAGATACAGACCTTACACCTCTTACAAAAATTAACTAAAAGAAATCATAAACCTAAATGTAAAGTACAAAACTATAAAACTTCTAGAAGAAAACACAAAAGAAAATCTAAGTGAACTTGGAAATAAGTTCATAGATCCAATAACAAAAGCATAATTCATGAAAGAAAAAAACTGGTATGTTTGACTTTATTAATACTAAAAACTTCTGAGAAAGATACTGTTAAGAGAATATAAGACACACAAAAAAAGAAAGAATTTATTGACATGGACAACAGTGTGGTGGTTGCAGGAGGGGGGAGGATGGGTGGAAGTAGAAGAGGGTATATAGAGAGGATAAATGCTGATGAAAAAATAAAAATAAAGGGAAAGAAAGAGAGAATATAAAGAGAGAAAATATTTGCAAAACATACATCTGATAAAGATTTTATATCCAAAAGATACAAAGAACTCTTGAAAGTCAACAATTAAAAAAGAAACCAATTAAGAAATGGGCAAAAGGTCTGAACACACAACTCAAGAAAAAAGATACACGGATGGCAAATATGCATATTAAAAGATGCTCAACATCATTTACCATTAGAGAACTGCACATTAAAACAAGATGGCACTGTGTGACTGTTAGAATGGATGAAACTAAACAACTAACAATACAAAATGCTGATGAGGATGCAGTACAACAGGAACTCTCCACTGCTAGGGGAAATGCAAAATACTACGTCCACTTTTGAAAACAGTTTGTTATAAAGTTAAACACAGACTTATCATCAACACAGCAATGGCACTCCTAAGTAGTATTTACTCAACTAATTTGAAACTTATATTCACCCAAAAGCCTGCACACAAATGTTTACGGCAGCTATACTCATAATCACTCAAAACTGGAAACAACCAAAATGTCCTTCAGCAAGCAAACAGATAATCTGTGTTCCACTCATACAAATATTATTAGTGATAAAAAGAAATGAGGTATCAAGCCATGAAAAGACATGGAACCTTAAATGCATATATGTAAGCAGAAAAAAAAGAGTCTGAAAATGCTATATGATTCCAATGACAGGACATACTGGAAAATGCAAAACTACAGAGAGTAAAAAGGTCAGTGGTTGCCAGGGACTTGGGTGGAGATGCGGAAACTTGAACAGGTGATACACAAGAGATTTTTTAGGGCAGTGAAACCGTTTTATATGATACTATCATAGTAGATACAAGGCACTATGCACTAACCAAAACCAGAGAACTTTACCAGACAATGAGAACCTTAATGTATACAAACTTAAGCTCTGTGGTCTTCTTCCCCAAAACCCATAACCACAGTCAAATCATGAGAAAAACATCAGACAAATCCCAGGTGAGAGATATTCTACAAAGTACCTG